CACAACTCAAAAAATAACAGCTGCTGGAGAGGGTGTGGTGAAAAGGGAACACTTCTACACTGTTGCAGGGAGTGTAAACTAGTGCAACCTCTGTGGAAAGCAGTGTGGCGATTCCTAAAAGCTCTAAAAATTGACCTTCCATATGACCCTGCAATCCCCCTACTGGGAATATACCCTGAAGAACACAAATCACTCTATAAAAAAGATACCTGCACACGTATGTTTATCGCAGCATTGTTCACAATAGCAAGAACCTGGAAACAACCATGCTGCCCATCAAAAGAGGACTGGATTTAAAAAATGTGGTACATATACACGATGGAATACTACGCAGCCATAAAAAAGAACAAAATCATGAATTTCGCTGCAACCTGGATGGAACTAGCGTCTATAATACTGAGTGACCTCTCACAAAAACAAAAATCCGAATATCACATGTTCTCACTCATATAATGGACCTTGAACATCCAATGCAATACTATAAGAAAATGACTGATGGTACTGGGAAACTATGGGGGGGAGGGGGATGGGATTAACAGTAGCAAATATCTGTCGGGGGATGGGAAAACTCCTCTTATCAACAGGGTGCCTAACCCTTAACTGTACCCCACAAAACCATAATAAAAAATACTGATTAATGAAAAAAAAAAAAGAATATGAAATTTTGGTCTCTAATTTGTTCCTCCAAAGAGACAGTAGTATTTTTTTGTTAAAGGATTTTATGGGCCAGGCTCGGTGGCTAAACCTGTAATCCCAGCACTTTGGGAGGCTGAGGCAAGTGGATTGCCTGAGCCCACAGATTTGAGACCAGCCGGAGCAACTTGGCAAGAACTCATCTCTACAATAAATAAAAAATTATCCAGGTGTGGTAGTGCACGCCTGTAGTTCTGGCTACTTGGAAGGCTAAGGCAGAAGGATCACCAGAGCCCAGCAAGTCAACACTGGGGTGGCTATGAGTGTGCCACTGCACTCCACCTGGGGCAATAGAGTGAGACTCTAACTCAAAAAAAAAAAAGGATTTATGATGTCATTTCCTTGTCCAACAGTGTGAGAAGTAGGTGCCATCAAGCTTGCTTCAGTTGGACTAGCTATATTGATGGATCCAGAAGGTCAGATGGATCCAGAAGTATATACAAGCTTTGTTCTGTACGGTCCTTGGACTCTGACAAGTGTGGGACCTCCTAAATGTCTCTCACTAATTTTATTCAAAATATTGTTCCTCTATTCTAGGCAGACATCATGCAAAGAGGCATAAGGAGTCTAGGAAATTCACTACCTCTTTTGTGTAGTTCAGTCTATCTTTGAGGGAAGAAGGAGAGAAAACGCCATCTAGAGTAATACCAGATGCAACTTGAGGTAATGTTGAGTCACTGGGAGAAGGAAATTAGGCTTTTCCAAGCCTAATCTCTTAAACCTTGGAAACTGAGGTGATTTAGTTAACTTTGACTCTCCTGTTTTGTACATATAAAATTTCAGCCTTTCTAAGATGAGTTGTATGAGCTGTGTGTGGCCATAGCTATTGTTTTCTTAGTGAAGCTAGGTATTTATAAGTGAAGAGCCTCATGGAGCAGGGCACTATTAATTATAAAGCAGTTTCTGAAACATGCTTTTCAAAATATGTAAGTTGTTACCACTTGGGAGGCAAGACTTCCTCATGGCTTTTTCATTGAGGGATGGTAAATGCCCCTCTCTGTCTTGTTACTTCTTGTTTCAACAGATCCTTTGTCATCCAGCAAATACCAAGCAGCAATCTGTTCATGGTGGTGGTGGATAGCAGCTGCCTCTGTGAGTCTGTGGCCCCTATCACCATGGCGCCCATTGAAATCAGGTATATCCTTTTGTGTATAGGTCTAGCCACAACTGCTAAAACTGGTAAGAGGGTTCAACAGTAAGGAAACCTGGGGGATAAATATTAGAGAGGGAAAAATTACATCCTTTCAACTGTTGGAAGATTAATTTTTGAGAAAGTTTATTGCCAAGTTTTGACCTCTGAAATGTAGAGTAGAATTAGTAATTCTTGGAAATGTGCCTTAACTACAGTCAACATAATGAATCCCTTAAGTGTGAACGTTTAAAGGCCCAGAAGATTAGAAGACGTCCAGAATCTTGTCATGGCTTCCATCCTGAGGTAAGTCTGAGAATTGTTCCTGTGCCCTTTTCCCATCAGATTCACAATGAGAATCTCACAATGGTCAAAGAACTATGGCTGAAAAGTTTACTCATGAGAAAATGATCCTTTTCAGGAAACCTAAAAAAATAAGGAACAGAAAAGCGAATGGCCTACTACTTTCAGTCCCTCAATGCCTTCTTATTTAGTCTATTCTTAATCTTTTTCTAAGCCAGGCTCCGTGGCTCAGCCTGTAATCCTGCACTTTGGGAGGCTGAGGTGAGTGGATTGCCTGAGCCTGAGGATTCGAGACCCGCCTGGGCAACTTGGCGAGACTTCATCTCTACAATAAATCAAAAAATTAGCTGGTGTGGTAGCGCACACCTGTAGTTCCAGCTACTCAGAAGGCTGAGGCGGAAGGATTGCCAGAGCCCAGCAGGTTGAGGCTGCGGTGGCCGGGAGCGGCCACTGCACTCCAGTCTGCTGGGTAACAGAGTGAGACTCCAACTCAAAATAAAATAAAATAAAATAAAATAAAATAATCTTTTTCTATTATATCCATATATTTTTAAAAACCTTTCTATTATCTTCCTGATTATGGATGTACTATATCCATAATCAGGACAACATAGTGTGGTTCTGACAAAATTGGTTTACTTAGCTTAAATTGAAGTTAAAATCATTTTACCTTGATTATTTTTAGACAGGCTTTTGTTTACAGGCAATTTGCATAAAGCAAAAGTGTTAATATTAATATCAGATAAAGAGTCATGGTCTATGAAGGTGGAATGATAAGCCTCTAAGTCCCCCAGCCACATGAAGTCCCAAGTATAAAGACATTTTATTTATACCTGAGGTGATGGTCAGAGGAAAATTAAGCTTAATACTGAGAAAGGCATACATATTGCAGATATAGATGATTTATGAGAGAATACCTCCTGCAATGCTGTAGGAAAGTAATTTAAATATAGAAAAATAATACTAATTCAAAAATTAACTCTGCTCCCACCCCCCATCCCCCAAATGGAAAGCTTGCCTAGACCAATTACTACTGGGAGATTGGGAGATGGAAAGACTCTTGAAAATGCTACTAGAGCTAGCTGAGTGTTAATTTCATCTTTAAAGAGCAAATGATTCTAATGTTATTTAAACTATTCAAGTCTTAGAGAAGATGTTAAAGTCAGTATAGTACAAATAAAAACTCAGAATTTATTAGGAATTTCTTCTTCAATATTCAAAAGATAGTTCAATAGCAACATATTATACAAATATATGCTAAAAAGGCCTTTGATAAAATTCAGTGATCATCTGTAACAAATACGCTAAGTAAAAATGAAAATGCAAATGACAATCTAAAGACATTAAAATTACTTCAGATAAAACAGGAACTGCCTACTTAGACAACTAAGTCAGAGTATAAACTACTAGAGTTTATAAGATAATTTACTCTAGTAACTGGATATAAGATAAACATACAAAAATCAGGAGTTTTCTTTGTTTTTTGTTTTTGTTTCTACAATTAATGAGATAAGATCAGTGGAACAGAATACATATTTCTACATATGACAAAGGTTCAATTAAAAGAGGGATATAGGTTAGACTTACATGATGAAATAATGGACTCAGAAGAAATTCTAGACATTGAAGGAACTGTTTATCCAGGACCAGAAAGCTATGAAAACAAGCAGATCCACCTAACTATATAAAACTTTTAATTTTTCTATGGAGAAACATAACTTTAACAAAATCAAGCCGGGCTCGGTGGCTCAGCCTGTAATCCCGCGCCTTTGGGAGGCTGAGGTGAATGGATTGCCTGAGCCCATGGGTTCGAAACCCGCCTGGGCAACTTGGCGAGACCTCATCTCTACAATAAATCAAAAAATCAGCCGGGCGTGGTAGCACATGCCTGTAATTCCGGCTACTCGGAAAGCTGAGGCAGAAGGATTGCCGGAGCCCAGCAGGCGAGGCTGCGGTGGCCGGGAGCGGCTACTGCGCTCCAGTCTGGGCGACCGAGTGAGACTCCAACTCAAAAAACAAACAAACAAACAAACAAACAAACAAACAAAAAATCAGTAGCCAATTTATAGAACTTGAAAAAAAGTGTAAAAATATTTATAAATCAAAAGATATAGAGCTCCTTTAAATCAATAAGTCAAGCAACTACATATAAAAATAAACCAAGAACATGAAAGATACAAGTTACTGGATGATCAAAAAAAAAAAACAAACAAAAAAACAGATAATGATGAAATATCTAGCTACAGTCATCAAAGGCAAAAATACCCTTTACCTCTGAAACTTCACTCCTGGGCATCTTTGCCATGGCCAGAGGCAGGGGCAAATATCACTGAGGACCGACATTCAGCATTCTTTGTAGCAGTAGAGAACAGATCATAAAATTAATATCAATTATCAACAAGGAAATAGCTGAATAATAATAGAGCTAGAATAATGCAGTTGGAGAAATTTTCATCAGTTAGTGGATGAGCAACATTTTGGAAAAATAAGTAAATAATATTACTTCATTTTTATAAAGCAGGGCCTTCTTCTACCCAAATAAAAACAAGGAAGATACACATAAAATCCTCCACAGCCAAGTCTCTGAAATTACCAGGCCCCTTAGATGTTGTATTTTACTTACATTCTGACAGGGAAAAATTAGAAGGCCCATATTTTGCTTTTGTAATATGGTCATAGCATACATCTGCACCAACAGCCCTTTACCCCTTGAATGTTTTATATAGTAGTAATATGCAAAGAGTTATTTAGAATTAATGCATTGGCAACTGGCATCAGAGATTCTCATCTCTAACTTGATGAAATGTAGACACCATGTAGGTCCCAGAAGACTTTGTTCTTATATTCTAGAGGGAAGAGAGATCAGGGGAGTCAACGTGGCTTGGAAAGTTTTAAGCATCCTCTAACCAACCCCTGACTTTTCTCATAGGAGAACGCGAGGGAGTGTGGGGGCGCACCGAGTCTCCAGGCCAAGATGGTTCTCATCCTGCCCCCTTTGCTTCTGATGCTCTTCTCAAGGTGACACTGACTGAGATGTTCTCTTGGCATGCTAAATCATGGATAAACTGTGAACCAAAATATGGTGCGACATACGAGACATGAAATATAGTCCAACCATCAGCATCTCATGATTTTAAACTGTACGTGATATAAACTCTTAAAGATATGTTGACAAAAAGTTATCTTTTTACTTTGCCAGTCATGCAAATGTGAGTTTGCCACATGATAATCACCCTTCATCAGAAATGGGACTGCAAGTGGTAGGCAGTGTCCCTTCTGCTTGAAACCTATTGAAACCAATTTAAAACTGTGTACTTTTTAAATAAAGTATATTAAAATCATAATCTCCTTGTTTGGTCATCACTTTAATATGAAAATATAGACTAAAAAAATGCATGGGGAAAAAGTCTCCCGTTCCAGAAACCAGTAAATGATGATTGTTGACAGAGCCTTTGTTCTAAAGCAGATTCTAGACAAATATTTAACAATTGTTTAGATGCTCCTGTCACAGTTAGAAAAATATTTACAGAAATATTTACAGAAAATCAAAATATCATCTACACTGGAAGAGTTTATTACATAGAACCCTGAATTTTGTTGAGCCAAACTTCAATAAAAATCATAATTTGGATAAGAACTCAAGCTTTTAGAATATGCAAAAGATGAATTATTTGGGAATAGAAATGAAGAAGTCACAAATCCTAGGAATTCATTCTGGGAAGACTTGAAGGGGAAAAAGAACAATGACTACAAATTTGGCTTTTGGCTTTCCCCATAAACAAGACATGAAATTAGATCTCAAATATTACAAGATGTGAAACTACCCAGACCTGTAAGCATCTCTAAAACACTGGGTCTTGAACCAAAGAAAACAGATTCCATTGGATCATGGTTACCAAATAAAGTGAAATAATTTCCATGCCTACATAAAGTAGAGAATGCTTTCTTTATAGGACAGATATCTAAAAGTTATCTGGAGAATGTTACTTAAACTTTTTTAAAGGGGTACATTATCCTCTTAATATTTTAGCAAAACTGATGTTATCATACTACTTTATATGAAAATGATTCCAATGTTTACAAGACTAACAACACTATATTGTTATACTTTTTAAAATTCCTACACCTATAGTGGTGTTCTCAGCATAACAATACTGTAACAGCCTACCCTGTCAACATTTTAACAACCATGGGGCTGTAGAATTGTGACCACTGATATTGTTCACTTCTATGCACTAGGTAAATGAATAACTCATTTGTTGCTCTTACAAATATCAAAATGTTTATATTTACACTGATATATTACTATCAGATGAGTCACAATTTGTGAGGGTGGAATGATAAGCCTCCAAACTTCCTAGCCACATGGAGTCACAAATATAAAGACATTCCATTTATACCTGAGGAGACAGTCAGAGAAAATTAAGCTTAATACTGAGAAGAATGAACTTATCACAGATCTAGGTGATTTATAAGAAAATTGAGGTGATTTATAAGAGGGAGCAATTTAAGTAATTTATAAGAGACAAGTCATATTGTAATGTAATTTTTAACAACATCATATGACCTACCATTCTTGATTATAATTCTAAAGAACTGACAACAGTAAGTCAAGCATATTATGCCACAATGCCCATAACTGAGTACTAATGATGCAAAACACATGTACTATAATTACTAATAATTTCACCCCTCTTATTCTAAATGGTGGAGTGTCGTCATTTTTATTATATCGTTCATGACATAAAGATAGCAAAGTGGACTTACACCATTCCCCGTGCCATGTCAGGTGTCACATTCGTGTGACTGACCCACCAGGCACCTCAGATTCTCTGTTCCCACGACAGCTCCAAGCAATTGGATACTCCACTTATCTACGTGGAGGTTGAATGCTTTTTTCCATCTTAGTGTGTCCTAAGTACAACTCCTCGATCTCCTTCTACCACTTAGCTTCTCCAACTGAAAACCTTGGGACCACCCTGTTTGCACCTTCCCCCTCAGTTCACCTTGCAGTGAGTCTCATGAGCTCCGCCTCCAAGCACCAAGCCTGACCATCACTTCTCTCAAGCCCCATCACTGCTGCCCTGCAGACACCAACCCGTCTCTGAGGCAGACCCACCTCCCATCCTCACTGATCTCTTCTCTCGGTGACCGCCCACTCCTGCTCCACAGTCTGTTCTCCACACAAGGGTCGGAGCAACTTTTCTGAAACAAATATCCAACAAAGCCTCGCCCACTGCCATTACAACAACTCACAGATCCCTTCCTGCAGTCCACAGTGGTGGTTCTCCAAGTCTTCTGTGAGTTACAAACACTCTGGGAACTTTAAAAAATTTTGACTCTCTAAGGGCAGGACCCAGGCATTTGTATTTGTGTTACAATTCCCCAGGTGCTGCTAATGTGAAGCCACATTTGAAACCACTGGCCTGTTGGACCCTGCAGGGTCTCTTCCTGAGCTCTGCCCTCCCTTTTGAACACCTGTGCTGCTCTGCCCCACACTAGTGGCACTCCACCGCTATCCCTCCCATCCTTTGAAAGTGTCAGGCATTTCTCTGATGATTAGTGAGGCTGAGCATTTTCTCATGTGTCTGTTGGCTGTTTGTCTGTCTTTTGAGAAGTGTCTATTTGTGTCTTTTGCCCACTTTTTAATGGGGCTGTTTGTTTTTTCCCTTTTGGCGCATCTGAGTTCCTTGTAGATTCTAGATGTTAGACCTTTGTCAGATATACAGTAGGCAAATATGTTTTCCCATTCTGTGGGCTGTCTCCCTACTCTCTTGATGGTTTCTTTTGCTTTGCAGAAGCTTTTCAGTTTGATGAAGGCCCACTTGTCTATCTTATCTCTTATGGCATGGGCTTTGGGGGTTTTGATCAGGAATTGGTTGCCTGATCTATCACAGAAACAAAGAACTGAGTATCACATGTTCTCACTCATAAGTGGGTGCTGAACATCTAGCATAATACTACAAGAAAGGGATTAGCAGTAGTGGGATACTGCCAAGGGAAGAGTGGAGGCCCATAACATCAATAAGGGTGCCTGATCCTAATACAGGCGAAGCGAGGTCCAGTGGGAGGCCCATACTTCACCTGTACATAAACCACTTATGTACCTAAACCTGACTTGTACCCCACAACTTAAAAATAAAAATAAACAGAGTGTCAGGCATGGTCCCTACTCAGGCTTTTGCTCTTCCTGTGCCTTTTGCATGGAAGGCTCCAGTCCCTAGTCTTTACACAAGCTGCTCCTTCCCTCCATCCAGGGCCCGCTTCAATATCCCTTCCTCAGAGACACTGGCGCAGAGGTTCAGTGCCCACAGCCTGCTACTCTGGTTTGCTTTTCCTTCATATCAGTATCTGGGATAATGTGATTTATTCTCCTATTGTTCCAGTTCTGCTCTCCCCAACAAATATTTCAAAGATTCATCTCTCTCTCCTTAAAAGTTGGGTCATCCTCCTTGCCCTCCTGATACATTTTCCAAAGACAGAAGAAAAGTCACCTGGAAGCGGGGCGGGGGCTGGGGGGCAGAGTCAGGGTATACATGTTTTTTTTTTTTCCTTGAGTTGGAGTGTCACTCCCTTGCCCAGTCTGAAGTGCAGTGGCACTCTCACAGCCACCCCAGCGTTGACCTGCTGGGCTCCAGTGATCATCCTTCCACCTCAGCCTTCCAAGTAGCTGGAACTACAGGAGCGTGCTACCATGCCCAGCTAATTTTTTTTTTTTATTTATTGTAGAGATGAGGTCTCACCAAGTTGCCCCAGCTGGTCTCGAACCTGCGGGCTCAGGCAATCCACTCACCTTGGCCTCCCAAAGTGCTGAGATTACAGGCTGAGCCACCAAGCCCAGCCAGGGTATAAATCTTTAGATAGCAATATAGGTGGTATTGAGCAGAATGGAAATGTTGTTACTATTATAAAATGCCAGATTCTTACTAATATTGTTGTCAGCATTAAAAATGATGTCATATGTATATATATATACATATATATGGTAGAAACATAAGAAACATAAGAATTATTGAATTATCATTGGTAAAATGTAAGTAGCCTTAGCCAATATGGGGGATGAAAATAGTTAGGTTTCCTACATGTAAAATAATCCAAGAGTAGCAATACTGCTATTGAAATCATGTTCGTTTTTTCAACTAGCCATTGTAAGCTTACTGTCACACTTTGAAATGACATACTGTAGAGCTATAGAGCACTAGAAAAGTCGTATTTGAATACAGCACTAGGCAACAGAGCAAAAACTGAGAGTGCATTTTAAAATGCTCTTGGGGTCAGGCACACCTGTCATCCCAGCACTTTGGAGGGCCAACGCAGGTGGATTGCTTGAGCCTAGGAGTTTGAGGCCAGCCTGCGCAGCATAGTGAAACCTCATTTCTACAAAAATATCAAAATATTGGCTGGGCCTGGTGGTACACACCTATAGTCCTAGCTACTCGGGATGCTAAAATGGAAGGATTGCAGAAGGTCGAAGATACCTGAGCCGTAGTTTTGGTGATCATGCCACTGCACTCCAGCCAGGGTGACAGATAAGACCCTGACTAAAAAATAATAATCACAATAATAAATGAAGTGACTTTACCACGATTACAAGATCTTGCACATTCTGTTCTTTCCCATTTCTTCTCTGATCTCACCAAAAGATCCTCCTTGTACTCCAGCCACATTGTTTTCCTACGCCTCAAATATGCTGGGTGGACATCCACCTCAGGGCCTTTTCACTTGCCCTCCCCCTGCCTGGGGTACACATTCCCCAGATACCTGTGTGCCTTGCTCTTTCACTGCTTCAGGTCCTTCCTCCTCAGACAGCCTTCCCCTGACCTCCCTGTTTACAACTGCAATTTTCATATCCTCCACCCCTTTCTCCGCTTCAACTTTCTCCATAGTAGGTATTCTGGAATTGCTTGTCTTTTCCCAGGAGAATATATGCACTGAGAAGGCAGGGTTTTTGTCTGTATCCTTCACTGCTGTATTCCCACTTCCAAGAAGAGTGTCTGAGTCAGGTGGGCTCAGTGGCTCACGCCTGTAATTCCAGCACTTTTGGAGGTTAAGGCTAGAGGATTGCCTGAGCTCAGGAGTTCAAGACCAACCTGGGCAACATGGTGAGACCTCGTCTCCACAATAAAAAACCAAAAATTAGCTGGGCATGGTGGTGCACACCTTTAATCACAGCTACTTGGAAGGCTGAGACGGAAGATCACCAGCAGGTCAAGGCTGTGGTGGCCATGACCATGCCACTGCACTCCAGACTGGGCAACAGAGTGAGGTTCCAACTCAAAAAAAGAGTGTCTGAGTCAGAGTAGAGCCTCAATAAATATTTAAGCAAGGAAGCAAGAACTAGTAC